AAAAAACAAACATGGGGATTGAGATTCCGACGAGGATACCGTCTCCAGATTGGCTTTTACATAATGACAGGGTAGTACGTAAAAATAAGACGAAACTGCATACATTGAGAAACTGCATACATTGAGAAACAGCATATAGCTTGCGTAGGATAGAAAATACTTTGCTAGTTTGTTGTGATTGTTACATTTCACGTCAAATCATAAGCCAAGAAATGGACATTGCTTTCTCGCGTGCTCTGGAATCAACTTCACCAAAACCTCTACTGCCACACCCTTCAGTTCTGGTTTTAAGGCGTATAGGGCAAATCAATCGTGATGAACTAGTAAATTGCTTATTTTGGTAAGAAAGTTTGTTTGAAAACTGTTTCTTACCGTGAGACTTGAAGTTAAACAATGGCGGAAGGAAACGTCCATTTGGCAAGCGAGTGTTTGGGTCACGGAGCTCGTCAAAGAAAGGATGGATTAAGGCATCTAGCTGCACAAAGAAACAGAGCAATCACAATTCTTAATTGTGCGCCTCCTTAATTTTTCAAAAGATGAAAAATGTAGCTAATGGCCCCAATACCTGTCTTGCTTCTGCAGTGATGGCACAGAAGAAAGGCAGTGAACAAGGAAAAAATATGAATACTAACTTCAAATGAAAGTATAGAAATACACCAAGCAAACTTAAATCTCATGGAAAATTGACGATGCAGCCATACCAATTTTCCATATCATCAAATGAGGCTAGAGTGTTACCAGAAGTGCTAAGTTCTAATAGCAACCTAACTCACCCAACTGGGAACCCAAAGAATAATGTCACATCCTATACTTACCACTGTATAGAAAAACATGGGCCTATAAACCTCCCACTTCTCCAGATACTAGTTTTGTTAAACATGCACAGAATTGGAAAAAAAAACCAAACTAAATAGCCCATCAAAGGACCTAATTTTTTTCTCTTTATAAATGACAAAATATGAGGGCCCTTGTTGGCTGGGTAGGAACCTCCAGTATTTTTAGTCCAATCCAACACCATACTAGACTCAAGAGAAAAATGGACACAAAAGCAGTAAGGAAAAGCAAAATAATAATAAAATCCTTTAGAAAGAGATTATCTATACTTACAGCAGTGCATCTCAGGTTAGGTGAGTACTGCAGTAACCTTGAGACCAGATCAACTGCTTCAGGAGGCATACGCTTATGGAATATCTAGAAGATGGAGGAAAGATGAGTTAGCATGTTGATGTTAACAAAAGAACATTGAATGCATTTATTATATGATTTTTAATACCTTATGCCATGGGTGGGCTTTAATCTGAGGGAATTTATGCTCTGTATAGTTAGGGTTCATGCATTTAATTTCTTCTCGTGTAGGAGTGCCCAAAACCTACAAAACAATAAGATTGAACATGTCATTACAAAAGTGGGGAAAAGTCAACATTACAATTAAAAGATAAAAAATATTCACTATGTTGAACCAAACAGAGAAGGAGCAGTTGCAACCCAAGAATATGAAGAATGGTTATTGGCCCAGACCAAACAATAGATCCCTTAGGAGCAAAGACAAACATAACTCTGGCAGGATCCAGGATAGATGTGGCAACTTTCTATGGCAATGCTGATGTCATCACCGTTAGAAAGTGTACCTTGCTCCAATGACAACAAATCGACACTGTAAAACATAACTGAAGCAATATAATATTACTGTGCATTCTTCAAAGAAGTTCTTAGACTTGGAAATTACCTTGATTATCTCAACAAGTTGGTCTACTCCACTCTCACCAGGAAATAGAGGCTAAATAATTGGAAAACAGTAAATATTTAATATACAAATCAGAATATTAAACCCCAAACTGTAGAAGTTAACTTCATACCTGTCCAAGTAGCAATTCAGCAAGGACACAACCAGCAGACCAAATGTCAATTGCTGTAGTGTACTCAGTTGCTCCAAATATAAGTTCTGGTGCCCTATAATACCTTGAGCAGATGTAGGAAATGTTGGATTCCCCTTTCACCTGTCAAACATCATGCTATTAATTCTAAGAACTATTCAACATCAAAAGGAAGAATTTACAACAACACTAATATAATAACTGAAATTAGAACTTACCAACACTTTTGCGCTTCCAAAATCACATAGTTTAACCTGGTGAGTATGTGGATTTACCTGCAGAAGCAAAAATTTAGGCATCACTTCAGCAATACATCAAAATACAAGGCAAAAAGTCAAAAACACAATGAAAAGAGATCGACAGGTTACCAAAAGATTTTGAGGTTTAATGTCCCGATGACACACTCCAATGCAGCAATGGATGTACGACAATGCCCTAAAAATCTGCAGTGCATTAAACATAAATTAGGAAATCATCAAGCTGTTACAATTTTTTTTTTTTTTTTGGAGAAGATAACACCAAAATCATAGTAAAGATGGAAGTGAAGATTCCTGATCAAAAAGAAAAGACAAACATGAACATGAAGATCTTAACATAACAAGAAATAAGAAGAAAGTAGGTGATACAGAACATCTAAAGAGAGTAAATTCTACTAAAGAACCATGCTGCATTTTAAAGCAAAGAGCACAATGAAACCAATTTTAAGTAATCAAAACCATACCTGGTACGTATAAAGTTTCACATATATCAATGGCATCCTTTGGCTCAACTTATTGTAGTGTTTGATTACACGGTGAACAGTTTCAGGTACATATTCAAGCACCAAATTAAGATAAAGTTCATCCTTTTCGGTTGTTGAAAAGAAGCAATGCTTCAAAGCCACAACATTTGGATGGTCAAGAAGACGCATAGTTTGCAGTTCACGGTTCTTGTACCTCTTATCTTGAAGAACCTTCTTTATAGCAACAGTTTCACCAGTCTCAAGGCACTTTGCCTAGATTCAAGAAGGAGGGGGGGGGATGAAAAGCCATTAGTAATTTGTAAATGAACATTACTCCCCTATTCTCTGCCATTAAAAAATGTACAACTAAACCTCTTATGTCTTACCTGGAACACAACTCCAAATGATCCATGTCCAACCACACGCTCAGCCATAAAACTTATCGTCTGCAATTTTCAACAATTATAATTGCATGAGACAGGGAACTAATAAAATGAGTGACAGAAATGGCCAACAATCTGTTGGCAAATAATCTTTTCATCTTTCTTTTTTTTTTTTGGGGTGTTTTGGCTGGTCTCCATAGACTTCCGAGATGTTAGATTTACAAATATATGAGGTTTCTGCAAGCATGCACTAGAACATACAGACATGAAAATGAATAACAAAGCAGGTAAACATTCAAAGATCACACACAAACAGAGACATATTTTGGCACATTCCTATACCATAACATCCTCCAGTAGAGTGATACCTGTTTTGGTTGACCATTTCTACCACCCATAGTTGTCACTATTATATGACCTGTCTCTGTTCCATTTCCATCAACTACCGTTGCCTCCATTTCCTACCAAATTACATTGACATGTGAGATTAGGAGAAGCAGGGACGGTTGCAATATATTATGACAGCCAATATAATAGAAAGACATGGTACCTTCTCATCCCTAATTTTCATGTCATTCATCTCCTCAGGTAATCTATCAACACCAACAGTACTAGATTCTCTCAAACCAGAACTAGGTGCAACACCAACAGAAGCCATTTATAGGACAAAAAGATGCCCTAATCTTGTTGATTTTCCCCCTTAACAAAACCCAATCATTTACCTGCAGTTAAGATCTAAAAGAAATAAAAATGTTCCTCAGCTGAAAAAGAAATGAAACTAAAGGGAAAAAAAAAAAAAAA